TTTAGACAGTGCTGGAGTCCGAGTGAGGGCCTTATACGTGTTAGTCAAGTTCTCTAGCAACTAGGTACCATCCCCAGCTCTTGAGTTCATATTTAGAATAACTCCTCTTCAGCAAGCCTTCAGGGCACCCTCAGGTCAGAGTGAACTCTGCTTCTCTTTGTTCTGCCAGGGTTCAGCTCTCCCACCCACAGCAGGCTGGGCAGTCAGCTTAGAGTTCTTGCTACCCACTAGCTCTTAAGTGATACCTGGGTAGATTACTGTTTGATTGATGGCTTCATCCCAGAGCATGGTATGGGCCTCTCAACAGCTGGAGTGCATTTGTACAAATGATTTGTTGAGATTGTGTCCTAGAAATTTCACTTATTTTTTTTCTTAAGGCAAATTATATTAAGTAGACTTCATTTACAAAGGCAGTTAGAATAGATAATAAATCTGACTGAAAAGTTTCATTTATGAGCACATTCATATGCCCTGTTAATAAAACAATTCCTATTACATAATCATGTCTTCTAGAAAACACCCACTTTCTTCTTTGATAAAACAGAAATTATTGTTATATTTTCAATAAAGTTCACCTTTATTTTAACATTATCTTTTTGTTCTTGTTAATATGGTGTTATTTCTAAAACAAAAAAATGAGACTTCCACTATGTTTGTTGCTGTTTTTTGTTTGTTTTTGTTTATCATCTCAACAAAGGTAGAGTCACCTAGAAAGTGGGGATGTTAACTGAAGTATTGCCTCCAACAGACTGGCCTATGGACACCTCCCTAGAGTATTTTGTAGATTAATACAAAGGCCATACCCACTGGGAATGGTGCCACTTCTGGACTAGTGGTCTGGGTTAGAAAAGGAAGCAGGTTGAGCAAGGCATGCCGAGCAAGCCATTCCTTTATGGTCCCTGATTCAGTACCTGCCTTCAGGGTTCTCTCTTCACTTTCCTCTGTGATTGACTGTGTAAACCAAACCAACCCTTCGCTCTCTGGGAAGGTGTTTCTGTTTGTGAGGTTTATCACAGTAACAGAAAACAAAGCAGAACACTCAGAAACTTTGATTTGCTCAGTGCTTATTTTTCAAAGTTATTTTTCTCATTTGTGAAACTAAAATAATTTTATTTCCATTTAAATGCTGTTCTTAACCAATGCGAAAGTCCTGAATTTAATTAGCATCCTCAGCTACTTAATGATAACAGGACCACAAATGCCATTTGAAAATGTAAAACCTTTATCTTTTGACTTCCTTTTGCTTTCATGCATAACATGGCTCTAAAATCACAGTAGTGGTATTTATTAGCTGTCTTTGTAAAACTGTGGGTAATACATCTTTCACATTTCATTGGGAAGAAAAGAAATTGAATCCCACCAGGATCTCCATTATTAGTTCTTCCTGTGTAAAAAAAAAAATTTTTTCTGCTATTAGATGATGTATGCGAATTGGTCCACATTTTACATGGTGGACTAGGAAAGCAAAAATCTGATATTTGAGTTAGAGATTTAAGTCCTAAGTCTGACGGTCTGGATCACACTATCTCCCAGCCAGCCTGGCTGACATTTAAGGTGGTATAATTATTTTCTGACATTGCAGAGTGTCTATTTTCAGTAAGAAAATTCTAGTTTTTAGCTTGTTTCAGTGGATAACAGTAACTAGTGGCTGAACAACACCCTGTATCCTCTTGGATTCTAGTTGTTCTAAAGAGTACTGTACAAACCACAGCTTTACACTGGACTACTTTAGGAAATGACAATCAGGTTTCATCTGCAGCAAAGTGTAGCCATCTCTTTTCCCATCCATCGGGTTGTTTGTCCCACTTTCTCTGTAGGAGAGTTGCTGAATGATGTATGTGAATAAATCTGAAGGGAAATTCCTTACTTTTGAAATTAACCCAAATTCTTATATTTTTTTTTTAGGCATAGAGGCTTCTAAACTTTAAGTGGTTGCTCATATTATCAAAAATCTCTTAAATATAGAAACACTATCAATTCATGTAGTCTATCAAAGTGTCCCACATAATGCCCAATCTTGGAGTGTACAATGTGATCTTTCATCTACAGAATAAATGCTCTTGTATTTATCTCTATTTAGGGATAATGGAATTATGTTGCTCTTACTACCTACTTAGTGGCATCTAAGATTGTGTCCACACTACATAAATGAAGTCAGTTGTCTACTTTTACCATGGAATATAGAACTGTTTCATTTTAATTTGAGGTGGCATTCCCAACAAGAGTCTATTAATAATAATTACCTTTCATCTTACCCATGTTTTTCTATCTTTGAATCCAAGCTTGACTTTCCCCTCTAGCCACTTTGAACAAGATGGGTTTGGCCAAGAGATCATTTCCTTGCTTCTATCTTTGGCTGTGTGTGCAGGAGTCTCACTGTCTGGAAGGCATTTCCCTTCCTTCACTGTTCATTTGTATAAACATGTGCCCTTCCTTCAAAGCTCTTATCAAATGCCTTTTATGAAGCTTTCTCTAAACACCTCACTGTAAACACACACACACACACATACACACACACACACACACACACACATACACATTTTAAAAAGCAGCACATCCCTCTGAAGCTGTGATTGCTACAGGGAGAGCCCCAGGAAGCAGGTCCCACAGACCTCTCTTAACCTCCTTACTGACATTACAGATTTCCCTAAGTTATCTTCTGAGCTCTTCCTCATGTCCTTGAAAGTTCATTTAAAACTAAGCCAATATCTCTATTTTGGAAACAAACCATGAGGCAAAACCAATTTATAAAAGTATTCAATACAATATTCTCTCTATTGCTTTCTTTTTTGCTACTTTTCTGATAACATATAAAATTTTAACTTTCTGTTAAGATGGTTCAATTATTCAACAGAATATGCCCAGATGTTTGAGAAAGAAGAGCTGTAGTTTTTGAATTCTAAACCAGAAATATTGGGAATCATGCACATGAAAAACTCTTGTGAGCATTCTTGGAACTGATCCCTCCCACCCATCCTGGTCATCTACCACAACATAACAGAAAAAAAAAAAAAAAAGAAAAGAAAAAAAAAAAAAAAAAAAAAACAAAAGAGCTTGGGTGGAGTTGAGAACTGTTTTCAAATGTAAAACAATCACTGGAAATCCTGAAAATGTGTCCTCCTCCATCCAGCAGGAAAAACACTTTAAAGTCACCCCAACCCCTACCCCCAAGAATTGTTTAGCAAGAGATTTACTCAGAAGTTTCTATTTTCGACAGAAAGTTCAATTTTAACTGCCTGAAATACAATGCCATCGGTGCTTACTTTTCCCTTCTAAAACACAATTCCTTTTCCCCTGAACACATAACAAGCACATGGTTCTAATAACCCCGATAAATGTGTTGATCAGAAAGGTGCAAATTTCATTTTTTAAAATCTAAACCACAGAAAGTATATCTTCAAAGTAAAACTTTTAAGATACTTCGGTTAATAGTTAAGTTCACAGTACTCATTTCCCTCTGAGGAGTGAGGAGTTAAGACACTCTGCACAATGCATAGTGGAACAGAGTGAGTGACAGATGAAGGGTTCAGGGCCAGGGGACCAGAGAATCCCAAACTTACTCATTAGTACCCATTACTCGTTCCACTCATACCTACCTGGCATTCAGAAATCATTACAAAATATATAATTTATTAATCAGAAGCTTTATATTATCTTATGTTCTATAAAGTAATCTATAATCCCCAAATTGGTATAGATTTCTATTTGAGTTGCCCCATTTCTGTAAAAAACAAACAAACAAAAAACTATGCTGATAAACAACTAATTGCTTTCCCAGTGAATATTCCATAAGGAAAAATTCAGAAATTTTGCTGTTTATATTTCACCGAATATTTGATTTCCACTAAGAATTAATAAATTTTTCACTTTTTAAAATTTCATCCTGGCATTTCTTTCATAGCTAATAGTCTAATATCCTAAACCAGATTTTGGGTGAGTGAAGACTATAGTCAAATAGATCTCTAATAGCAGGTCTAATGTGGGTTCTAGAAAGTTTCTGTGACAGGTTTCCCTTCTGAGAAATGGAGGGTTTTGTTGCCCAGCATCTCAATGGATTTGATCCAGGGGCAGCTGGGCCTGTGGGACCTAGCCTATCACATCCTGTTTCCTCTTGAGCCTTCAGAAGGCAGAACTAATCCAACCAGAAGGCAGGCTTCACCTCCATTGTCCTCTGCTGCGAAGCAGCACTAAAATATGCTTTTAATGCACAACTACTTAACACGACATGCACTTCTCCTGTGTGTGAAGTATGACTGTATATTGCTCATGCCTCCTTTCATTTAGGGTCTAAATTAATTTCTCTGAGTTGTCTTATATATATTATGTAAATAACAGATTTCCTATCATTTACAGTATCTCCTATTCCTTAAATAGTGGATGTATTAGACAGTTTAGGGCATGGTTGATAAAATAAGCTGACCATAATTAAGCAACAAACGTTAGCTTATACATCCTTCAACATGGGAGATAAGAGCATATTATGAATGAGTTGTCAATAATATGATACTTAATGTGTTACTGTAATATACACAAGAAACAATGAAAAGATCCTTTTAAAGTTCCCTTCTAATAGAGGCAAGTTTTATTAATTTACACATCTGTCACCTAATAGGATACACAAAGTATTAATGCCTGTTTAAATCTCTAGTGAAAGATTTTTAAATCAATAACCAATCCTGCGTGTGTGTGTGTGAGAGAGAAAGAGACAGAGAGAGAGAGAGAGAGGGAGAGAGAGAGAGAGAGAAAGAGAGAGAGAGAGAGAGAGAGAGATGAAGTCTCACATGGTAGCCGAGACAGGACTGGATCTATGATGTTACCCAGGCTGACTTCAAACCCATGGCAATCCCTCTGGCTCAGCTTCCCCAGTGCTGGAATTACAGGTACAAGCCATCATCTTCAGTGTACCAGCCTTTTCTCTCTTGCCTGCACTTGTAACTTAGTGCTGCTTGGAGAGTAACTGGACAGGTGAAGAAGAACACAGTCAAGTTTGAGCTACTCACGAGAGGACGTTCCCAATGTAGGTGTAGTAGGAGCAACAGTAGGGTGTACTCCCATCACAGCAGTAGGATCTGCAGTCTTTGCCACACTGAGCAAGGCAATCCTCTACGAAGGAAAAATGAGAGTCGTTGAAGTCGTGAAGTCATGGCTGAAGGAAAAATTATTCTGTGCGAGTCTTAATCAGTCACCTGGCTTTTAGCACACAGCGATGTTCATTTTCTAAATTCCAAATCATTTCTAAGGGCCTAGATTGGCCTTTCTCCCCAATAGACTCTGAGCTGGTGGGAAGAAATAAAGCCCTTCTTCCCGAGTCCCTGCCCTGAACACACTGTGACTATAGTTGGCTTTGGGTGAACAAGATTATGATAAAAGGAATGTATCAACCCATCTGTCAATAAAGTTGACAGAGGAGTTCTTATCATAGTCCCTAAACAATGAAGCATCCTGACTTTAGCGTGTTGTCTATTAACTCCAATTAATGGGAAATATTATTAACATATTATTGATATATAATACCAAAAGTGATCATTGGAAACTAATGTGTATGTTTGCTATGGTAACTTAATAATGCTTTTGCTTTTATGTTACCTTTTCCCTCTATGATTATAGCTACTACACATACAATTACATAATTTAATCTGCATAGTGCCGCTCCATTATGCTTGGAAGATAATAACCTAGATACAGAAGATGGTCATATAAATAACTTATAAGTTAGCAGTTTATTTAATGTCATATTGAAGAATCAATAAATTATAACACAGGACATTGTGATGCCGAAAATTTCTCATTAAAAGGATATGCTGGACCTAATATGAGCACATTGCTTTTCCGTATGTGCTTTTCAACAGGAAAACTTGTACAAAAAAGTGTAATAAGAATCATACTGACTTTAAACAGCTTTATATTCCACCTAAAGGATTTATTTTTTCAGTATAGGGTTAACTTTGAGTTATAAGTATAAGCAGTATAAGTAATGGTGGATGTGTTTCAGGTATTTAAAAAGCACTATAGTCCCACAATTTACATTCTATGTTCAAGAGTTTCAAAATGAGCCATTTTCAACTCAGCTCCTGAAGGTAATGTTAATAGTATGGTATAAATTACACGAAGTTTTTGGTTCACTATCAAAGTTAAAATATTGAAAGTACAAGCTATTGTATTTATGGTCACATGTCCTTTTATTGCTTTCTCTAAAAAAGGAAGCCTTGGGGCACTTTTATGTCACATCTTCCTAAGATGTGGTCCATATATAGTATATCCTGTCTGACTTTGTTAATTAATGTGGGGTTTTTTTTTTTGGTGGAGCCAAGTGAGAAAGGTCATATTGTCTTCCTATTCATTTTATTTCTATAGCCCAGATCAACAAAATGAACTTTAAAGATTTCCACTCGACTGAAGAGGGTAATTGTTTTTGCTATTCTACTTAAATCCACACAAGAAACAATAAATCATATAGCTCCAATACAGTAACTACTGCATTGTCAAATGTGTTCTCAAGAGAATGCATGATTTTTTTTTAATTGTTTGCTTGTTTTTAAGATATGCCTTGGTCTAGCTCAGACTGGACTGGCTACAAGAATGCAGAAGATGGCCTTTAACTCAAGATCTCTTGACTTTACCTTCTAAATGTTAGGAAAGACATATATGCCCCCACTCCCATATAGGACATTATAATTTTTAGGCTTCCTATTTAACAGTGTTTTTACTGAGTTTCTCCAGCTTGATTCGTTTTGTTGTTGAATTGATTCAAGATTTAGCCAAATCAGCTACCTCCAGAGTTTAGCAGAGATGTGCCGCTGTTTTTGTTTTCAAAGCTACTCAGATCATGAAGTCAAGCCCCCAAGTCAAGCCCCTTTGAAGAGTGACTTATAATTAAGCTTCCCAGGAATTCAATGACTCAGCTGCCCCGACTGCATTGGTCACTGCTGCCATAAGGGCATGGCGTTATCAAAAATACTGTGAGCCAACTTTACAGGAAACCAAGCCCTAGATTTTCTAGCCAAGAAACTGGCTAATTCCTGCAGGAACATGCATGCCATGTCACACTCTGTTCAGTATTTTTATGGTGTTTTGAACACTGCTATCTCCTTCCCAGAATTAAACTACGGAAAAGGGTAAATGTACTGGCTTGATGAGTGTACTCACCATCCTAACTGAGGCTTCAATCAGACCTCAGAGCTGATTGTATTATCATGATTACTCTTTCTCAGATTCTGAGGATGATATGATGAAGATCATAGTTTGGACTGCACAGAGGGACTGTTTGTCTTCATGAAGTAACAGACAACCCAGTCGCCCTCTGAAAACAGAGTAACGCCACTCCTAATAGCCAAATACCTCTTCTAGCATTTTTTTTTTTTAATGAAAGGTGTGATCTGGAAGGTTCCTCCAGCAAACATGACCACCCCACCTTCAGGAATGTGTAGTACAGGATAGTATTATCCGGCTTGAAGTTCTTGCTTAGAAATGGTTTCTGCCAGCTACAGCTGTGGCTAAGTAAGGAAGGAAAAGGAGGGTCAGAAGACACAGGCTGAGGCCCGGAAGGTGAAACCTTGACAGAATCCTGTCTTTGTAGCATGCAGGGCAGTTGGACAATAACATAAACACTTCATCTGGGTCTCTTTCCTAAAGTTCTTCCATGAAAAAAACCACAATGTATAACTGCATTACACATACAAGAATATACTCTCATTTGCTCAGCCAATAGAACATGAATGTATTACATTTGCTTTGTGCAATATAACTAGGTCACCATAGTTAATGTATCCACTTAGGGTTTTTTTTGTGTGTATATGTGTGTTATGAAACTACCAATTGATCTATTAGAATGTTCAGCCATCTAACCATAATGCATGTGTCCAGTTGCATCTTTTAATTCCAACAGAACTGAACTATCCACTGTTGGGATTACTTACCTTACCATGCAGCCTGTGCTAACATACTCTTGTTTCCTTGGTCCAGGGCTTTCCTAGTCTCAAATCATCTTGTTCTTCATGTCTTCCTCACTCAGAATTCCTAAGTGCACATTGCTTAGCCTTGTCTGCCTGGGAGGCTATTTTACTGAGTGACATAATAGTTACCCGAAGGGGCGTGCCCTTTTCAAATAGCAATTTGGCCACCTTTGATAGCTCTGGTACAAGATTGTATCTGTTCTGTGACATGCTTTCCCACCTTAAACTGGTATGTAAGTTCACCTTATCACCCTCCAAAAACTCAGAGCATGGCCTCTCTGCTCTCAAAATGAATATGGCAACCTTCAAACAGCCTCTGACATGAGGTTCAGGGATGTCCACCAAAGAACTCATCAATTTGGCATTTCTGACACAAGACAGCCTTGTGTTGGCTTGCAACTACTCTGCAGTTTATTGGATAAGAGTTTGGGAGGAAAAAAAAAATGTTAAAGCGAAAACTACCTATAGAATGCACCCAGCTAACTGTTGTCTGTGACACTGGTTCCCTGAACACTGGAGGATCTGTGCGTGTAGTCCTGAGAGTTGGAACACGTCAAGAACAGGTGCGTAAAGTTGAGGCCTTTCAGCCTTCCACAGGGTAGCAACTTAGAACAAGGGGACTGTGGCTCCTGAAATTACTGAGTCAGAGCAAAGATTTAGTCATTGAAGCTTCATTTGCTTTTGCTGTTGTTTTGTGTGGGGGGGTGGGGGTGGGGGGATTGAGCTACTTTGATAAACTGAAGAGGTAGGACGAGGTAGGTAGTCTCTTTTAAGAAACTAGAAGAGAGACACTATAGAAAAAACCGGAAGGCCGTTGATACTTAGTGCCTCTGAAAGGGGAAACTACACACAACGCTGCCATCACTAGAACTGGAATTATTTTCATCAAGTAGAGGCCCTCTTCCTACTTGTAGTAATTTCTGAACTAGAAAGTCAGCATCTCCCCTAAAGTATCTTTAATATGATAACTTTTAGATAGCAATTTGCCTTTCAAAATCTGCTTATTTTTGAAACTGGGGGGGGTCTCATGTATCCTGGGGGGAGGTGGTCTTCAACCAACCATGTAGCTGACAATGACCTGAAGTTCTGATTCTCCGGCCTCCCCAGTGCTGGGCCACCACAGTTAGTTAATGCAGTACAAGGGATTGAACCTATGTCTTTTGGTTTGTTTATGTTAGGCAAGTACTTGACCAACTGTGCTCAACCCCAGGCCCTAGTTTGAATCTTAATAGATTCAATTTTTATACACGTGAGGATTCCTTTCTGGCAGAGCTAGGGGGTGAGGAGTTTGATTATTTTGCTGCAATGATGCAATTCAATTCTTTTGCTGCAACTGATAAGGTTGAAGAACTTTTTTTAGTTGCAGTATCTTGGTAAGTATCAAGAAGTGAACAGCTCTTGTAGATAAGCCTGTGTTTTGTTGTCATAAAATGTTAGAAACACAAAATGTTTTACACTTACACTCTGTGGATAGGTGCTAGGTGTGAGCTTGTAATTGAGCAAGCAGCAAACAGCCATATAAGACTCCTTGTCAATCACAGAACAAGAAAACCACTCTGCTACATTAATTATTCACAATTGCCACTAAGAATAATTATAAAAAGGGAAATGAGGGGCTTTTCACAAACAGGTGCTTAATCACATTTAAAAAAAAAAGGAAGAAGAAAGAAAGAACCTCGTATTGACCTTGGTGAAATAATCTCTCACACCCTTTAACTCAGAGCATGTGATTGCCTAGCCTCTAGTCCTTGCGGATCTTCTAAGGAATACGAGGAAATGTCTAAAGTATCTGACTTCTTAAACAGAAAAAACTGGATTGTTCAGAGCGTGAGCAGCCTGAGACAAAATGCAAAAGTCACGAATGCTTTATTTTAGATAACTTCACCTTTAAGTTTCAAGTATTTTTTAAAAAGTCTCTGCCGGCCATTAACCAGGGTTCATTTAAATCCTGGATGTGTTTTTACACTAGTCAGAGTAAATCTCCTTAAATGAGAGTTTCTGAATTGTTTTGAAAACAGAGAAGAAAGCAAAACAGTAGTTAAAGTGGAGATGGGGGTTCGAGCATACTAGTGTCTGGTGTTGCCTCCTAGGGACTCGCCATTCTTCTACATTCCTGCTTTGGCCCCAAGCCCCTGGACCCTCTCTCCCTGTTCCCGCTACCACTGACCTGTGTAGACAAAGAGCAGGACTAACTTCGGAAGCAAGACCCCTGGACGCCGGGGCAGCCTCAGTGCATCCATCCAAGCTGGTGGCTCCAAGCTGCTCTGTCAGACAGACCGGTAAACCTGGCAGAGGGTGGGGTGAAGGGACAGCCAGGAAACCCAGCAGCGATGCCCAGGATACAGGGTGGTCAGGTGGACAGGGCTGCGCTCCTCAGAGCAGGGTCCAGAGCAGTCCTGGCCATGACCCCAGACAGAGAACCGAGGAAGCCAGCTGGCTGTGCGAGCTGGGCGCGGGTGGTCCTGGTGGCAGGAGCTCTGTGTCTGCCCAAAGGTGCTGGCTCTGGCAAGGAAGAAGCAGCTTCTCTGGCGTCCTTGGCCACCCGGGCTCACATTTCATCTGCTAGGGTGTCACTAAAGTGGGGATGAGGGCGGGAGATGCTAGACTCCTCCCACTTTGCTGAGTTTCCCTCTATAGATGACAGGGGACTTGGCTCCTTCAGGAGGAAACTTCTGAGTTGTTTGGCTTTTGCTACAGTGTGGCCAGCCCCTGGGGACTACTGTGTCTTTCCTCTGGGTCACAACACTCTCCATCTGCCTTGAAGCAGTGGGTAGAGACTTTAGTTTCCTTCCTAAACAAGTGAAGATGGCAGTTTTTGGAGTTTTTGGATTTAAAATATAATTGCACAAAGAATGGGAAACTACAGGAATTACACAGAATCTCTCCTGAAATGCTTATTAATCAAATACTCGAAGCATTTCAACCAATTCAGGGAAAATAAAATGAAACAAGGGATGTCTGGCCACCACCCTGTTGCTCTGCTGTTACTGCCCTATGCAATTAGATAAGAGAAAGAAAAAAAAAATTACAAAACATGGAAACAAAAATCTTAGCAAATTAGGTATTCACGTGAGGAGGGACTCAATCAATGCTGAAGCTCTTTTCTAAAAAAAAAAAAAAAAAAAAAGTCAATAGTGCTTAGAGAGAGAAAAATAAAAGGAAATGCTTCTCTTCATTAAGAAAAGCCAACAAAATAAAGTGTTCCCCTCAATTATTCTGCAAATTGAGGGTGAAATGGATCTTAATGTAATTACCAACGTGAAGATTTTCAGGTAGATTGGATTCCACAGCTTGTACAGAAAGGGACTACATAACAGTAACAAAACAGCTAACCAAAAACTGCAGATATTGACAGAGAACACCATATATACATTAATGTCATTCCCCCCCTCCTTTTTAAATACTAAACTGGTTGGAAGATGTTACTTGTTAAGTATGAAACAAAGTAACTAAAATACTACCTTTAGGAAGCAACAGACACACTTCAAAAGTCAAATATACCTGAACCTTTATTTAGTCAATCTTTCTTGAAGAAGTTTTGCCTATGTACGTGGGTCAAAGACCATAGGACAGGCATATACATTCTATGCCCAGCCATTGTCTGCTGCAAAAGAAGGCTGGTCAATTCCCCTCTCACCTCTGGCCAAACACAGTGAAGTTTTAGTGACACAATTTAAGTCTATTGCGATGTGGAGACAGTATTTCAATGCATTTATTTTATGTAAGGGAGGGTTTTTATGCGTACATGTGGACACCATTGTCTTCTTCTACCATGTATGTTGTGTCTCAGTGAACGAACTCACCTTGCCGGGCTCCTCAGCAGGCTCTTGTCTGCTGCACCATCTACTGTAGCTTTCACCTGCATCTCTCTCTGACTGTAGACCTCACAGTCTTCATTAGAAGTAAGCCTCCTGCCCCAGAAATACTTGCCCCAAAGTTTGTCTTAAGCCACAGAATAAGCCACATTCATGCACTGTAGTAAAACTCAACAGTGTTACTGTTATGATTGGAACCTGGAGTCGTCGATCTCATTATCAGGGAAGGACATCTATGGTGGCCTTTTCACTGTTGCTCAAATTGTTAGTTGGGGGTCAGTCTTGTAGGCCTCTGGACATTTCTCTAGAGTCAGTTTTCTCTTCACACCTATAATGGCTCCCTCTTTTAGGCACACACACACACACTCTCTCTCTGTCTCTCTGCTCTCTCTCTCTCCTCTCATCTATTCCTCCCCTGACTCAATATTCCTAGTCCCACATGCTTTCCTCTCCTCCCCTTCTCTTTCTCTTAATTCCCTCTCTACTCACTGCCTCCCCACTCCCCATATGCTCAGTAGATCTTGTCCCTTTTCCTTTCTGTGAGGGACCTTATATGAATCTCTTAGAACACTCCTTGTATTCTAGTTTCTCTGACAGTATGAATTATAGGCTGGTGATCATTTGTTCTATGTCTAAAATCCATATATGAGTGAGTACATACCATATTCCTCTTTATGTGAATGGGTTACCTCATTCATGTTCCATCTATTTGACTGTGAATTTCAAGATTCCATTCTCCCTCCTACCCCCACAGAGTAGTATTCCATCCTGTAAATGTGCCACATCTTCTTTGAGGGGCATCTAAGTTGCTTTCAGGTTGTTGCTATTACAAATAATGCTGTTATGAACATGGTTGAACACATGTCTTTGTTGCACAGATATATATCATCTGGGTATATGCCTAAGAGGGGGATTGCCAGGTCCTGTGGTAGACTGATTCCCATTTTCCTGAGGAGCCGTCATAATGATCTCCAAAGTGGTTGTACAAGTTTGTACTCCCACCAGCAGTGGAGGAGTGTTTCCCTTTCTCCACATCTTCTCTAGCATAAGTTGTTATTGGTGTTTTTAATTTTAGCCATTCTGGCAGGAGTAAGATGGTATCTCAAAGTTGTTTTGATTTGCATTTCCCTGATAGCTAAGGATGTTGAGCACTTTCTTAAGTGCCTTTCAGCCTTTTTGATTTTCTCTATTGAGAGTTCTCTATTCAGTTCTTTGCCCCATTTTTTAATTGGGTTCTTTGGTGTTTTGTTGACTAGTTTCTTGAGTTCTTTGTATATTTTGAAGATCAGCCTTCTGTCAGATGTAGGATTGGTGAAGATCTTTTCCCAGCCTTCAGGCTGCCATTTGATCTTGTTACCTGTGTCCTTTGCCTTACAGAAGCTTCTTAGTTTGAAGAGGTCCCATTTATTAATTGTTGATCTCAGTGTCTGTGCTACTAGAGCTATGTTCAAAAAGCAGTTTCCTGTACCAATTTGTTCAAGGGTACCTCCCACTTTCTCTTCTAAGAGGTTTAATGTGGCTGGATTTATGTTGAGGTCTTTGATCCATTTGGACTTGAGTTGTGTGCATGGCGATAGACATGGGTCTATCTTCAGTCTTCTACACGCCCTCATCCAATTGTGCCAGCACCATTTGTTGAAGATGCTTTCCTCCTTTCATTGTATACTTTCAGCTGTTTTGAAAAAATCAGTTGTTCATAGGTATGTGGGTTAATGTCAGTATTGTCGATTCGATTCCATTGGTCTACTTGTCTATTTTTGTGCCGATACCAGGCTGTTTTCAGGACTATAGCTCTCTAGTAGAGCTTAAAGTCAGGGATGGTGATGCCTCCTGATGTTCTTTTATTGTACAGGGTTGTTTTTAGCTATCCTGGGCTTTTGTTTTGCCTTATAAAGTTGATTATTATCCTTTCAAAGTTAGTAAGGAATTGTGCTGGGATTTTAATGGGGACTGCATTGAATCTGTAGATTGCTTTTGGCAAGATTGTCATTTTTACTATGTTTATCCTACCTATCCAAGAGCATGGGAGATCTTTCCATTTTCTAGTATCTTCTTTAATTTCTTCCTTTAAAGCCACAAAGTTCTTATTATACAGGTCTTTCACTTGTTTGGTAGGTGTTATCCCAAGATACTTTATGTTGTTTGTAGCTATTGTAAAGGGTGATGTTTCTCTGATTTCTTTCTCAGCCCCTTTGTCATCTGTATATAGTAGGGCTACTGATTTTTTAAATTTATCTTGTATTCTGCTACTTTGTTGAAGGTGTTTATTAGCTGTAGGAGTTCCCTGGTAGAGTTTTTTGGGTCCCTTATGTAAACTATCATATCATCTGCAAATAGTGAAAGTTTGACTTTTTCCTTTCCAATTTGGATCCCCTTGATCACCATTTGTTATCTTATTGCTTTAGCTAGAACTTCAAGTACAACATTGAAGAGATATGGAGAGGGAAGCCTTGCCTTGTTCCTGATTTTAAAGGAATCACCTTAAGCTTCTCTCAATTCAGTTTGATGTTGGCTGTTGGTTTACTGTAAATTGCTCTTATTATGTTTATGTGTGTTCCTGTTATCCCTGATCTCTCCAAGACCTTTATCATGAAAGGGTGTTGAATTTTGTTGAAGGCTTTTTGAGCATCTAGGGAGATGATCACGTAGTTTTTCTTTTTCAGTTTGTTTATATGGTGGATCACATTGATAGATTTTCATATGTTAAACCATCCCTGCAACCCAGGGATGAAGCCTACTTGGTCATGGTGGGTGACTTCTCTGATGTATTCTTGGATTCGTTTTGCCAGTATTTTATTGAGTATTTTTGTATAATTTTAAGAGCTTTTTAATGTAAGATACTTAAGCTTTGATTCTTAGCAGAGTAAAGAAAAAGTATTAACTTTTTTAGTATTTTTATATCTGAATTTCAAAGTTATAATTAATAAATCTTTTATTTTATTTTTTTTTACTTTTCTTATTTTACATATTGATCCCAGTTTCCTCTCTCTCCCTGCCTCCTTCCCTCCCTATCTCTTTCCCTCTCTCCCACCCTATCATGCTCCCCCCCCACTCCACATGTAGGGTAATGCCTTCCAGAAGGGGGTCATCTAAGTCATTTGGAATAGGGACTAGGCCCTCCTTCCTGCCTCTAGGTTAAGGGAGTATCCCTCCATGGGGAATGCGCTCCCAAAGTCCTTTTGTGCACCAGGGATATATCCTGGTTCCACTGTCTGAAGTTCCTTAGACTGCCCAGACCTTCTAGCTGAGGGGGGGGGGGGTCTAAGTCAGTCCAATGCTGGATTCCCAGCTATCAGTCTGTGGGCCCATTAGCTCCTCCTTGTTCAGGTCAGCTGTCTCTGTGGGTTTCTGTAGCCTGATCATGTCCTCCCTCTCTGCATCTGGATTCCAGTTCGGCTCAGTGTTTAGCTGTGGGTGTCTGCTTCTGTTTCTATCATCTACCAGATGAAGGCTCTATGATGGTGGATAAGTTAGTCATCAGTCTCATTATCAGGGAAGGACATTTATGGTAGCCTTTCCACTGTTGCTCATATTTTTATTTGGGGTCAATTTTGTAGGTCTCTGAACATTTCTCTAGAGTCAGTTTTCTCTTCAAACCTATAATGGCTCCCTCTTTTATGGTGTCTCCC